AAACATACCAATACCACTTGCCAAACTCCATCTTTCACAGATTGCTACTGATGATCTTTTCCTTCAAGGACTATGACAAGCTCAAGAACTGCGACAAATACTGCAGCCCTACCTCTAAAAATCTTGTGCATTAATAAACAGCCACACGGTTAGGCTCTTCATGGTGTATAATTTTGTGAAAGGACTCCGCACAAATTCCCAGTTTACAGACCATTGTATTTTGTAAGCTCAATTGTGAGACATAACAAGACAGTAATTAATTGAATCAGTGCTTGTTTATATGAAAACGATCTGAACTTAAGGCAATAAAGATTCTGTTTCGTTTCAGAAGGCGCTGCTTGTGCATATTGCTCAAAAAGGTACTTAGTAGTAAATAGGTAAGTTTTGAAATAAAATAAGTTGATCGTTTATTTTGACATTAAATTCTTAAAATAATTAACTTTTATTACATCAAAATTAAAAATATAACTTATTCAGCCCCTGCTTGATGAGAATTAAAAATTTTTAGTAGATTATAATAAAAATTGATGAAACGTGAATACGTGATTCAAAACGTTATGGGTCCAATAAAATATGTGATTAAAATTAATTATTGACTTTAACTTAAATTAAAATTTAGATTTTAGTCTCTACCAAACAGGCGCTCAAATATGTCAAGGATAAGTGGATAACCAATGAAAATTACTTATTTTAAAACTTATTATTCTGTTTACAAGTAAACTTTTAAGTCTACCCAAACATGCTAAAACATTTCCAAGTAGATAAGTACAGGTCTTTTAAAAAAATGTTTGTTATTCGAACTTAAAAATGAGTGTGTTACTTATTTTGTTAGTACTCCTAAGTTCCTAACTTCTTGCAAAAAAAAAAAAAAAGTAACTATATATAAAATTTAGGTAACATTTAACCTTAGACAAGAGCGCACAAGTCAATATCGAAGAATAAGTGTTTCTAAGCGATTGCGTTTCTTGATTTTTAATTAATCATCACAAGTCACTTTAATAAAATTGTGACTACTCGAAAGACGTATTAGCAAAGAGAAGGGAGCTTTGCATGACTGCTGCAATTCCAATTTTATTCAAGTAAATGCTCAGTAAATGTTGATGGAATGAATCCATCCAACTTTTTACAGATCTCATTTCTATTAATTAATGCAGAATTAGTCTTTAAATGGGGTATATAAAGCATCCCAAAGTGAAAATTACCTCCAGTTAATAAGAAATCATGTCAAGAAATTTGAAAGAAGATGAAAATCGTCAGAATCTGGGTGAGTTTTAGTACGATATTGTTGTATGTTTTTGTTATTCCATTCAATATAATTATTTAACAATGTTTTGCAGGTTTAAAGATTCTATTATACAATAGTACTGAAGAAGAAATTAATCGAACAAAGCACGTAGTAGTATCATGGAATAGCCTTCTTATTCCAATGTTTCTTAGGTATGCATTGCTCCTTCGCTTTGATGATTGCAATTAATTACCTTTATGATTACCAAATCCGATTCATTTTGGCAATCCTAGACTGAATATGGACGATGGCGAGGAATTGACAGAACAGGAAACCACCCTTTATGATCGCCAAATCCGAGTCTGGGGTGTCGATACTCAACGAAGGTAGAATTTGGAATTCAATTAGAATCTAAATAAATTATCAGTAGCTTTTAAATTTGTGTTGGAATCCAAATAACTTCAGGTTGAGCAAATCTCGCGTATTTGTCAGTGGAATCAAAGGTACCGTTGTTGAGGTAAATTTTCAAAGAAAAAGAAATCCTCATTGTTGTTTAGGACATTGTATGCACTACTGATAAGAGACTAGGGAAAATCGTCGTTTGTTGCAGTTTTGCAAGAATATTGTACTAGCAGGAGTAGGTAGTTTGACAGTAAATGATGATCGTACGGTGACTGAGGAATTGTTGTCTGCCAATTTCTTAATCCCTCCGGACGAGAATGTGTATAGTGGGAAATCTATTGCCGAGCTCTGTTGTGATTCCTTGAAAGATTTCAATCCTATGGTTCGTGTTTCGGTTCAAAAAGGTTGTCTCCTTAATGCCGTTTGTTCTGCAGTGTCTTGTGTGATTCATTTTTATCTATTCCTTCTTTTCTCACTAATTAGCCCTTTGAATATGAAAGTTAGGCAACTAATTTTGATTTCTTTAACACTCAAATTTTGCAGGTGATTTGTTAAACTTTGATGTGGATTTCTTTGACAGGTTTGATGTTGTAGTTGTCAGTTCTTGCTCACTTTCAACAAAAGTATGGAGTTGATCTCTCTTAAAAACATGTAAATTTATTGAACACATATATATATTAGATGTTTATCCGTTGCGTATATCTTTCAATCTATTATCTTAGAAGCATCCATAAATTTTATTTGGAAACTTATCTGCTGCAGATATCAGTTAATGAGAAGTGCCGCAGATTGTCAAAACAGGTTGCATTTTATATAGTTGATTGTAGAGGCTCCTGCGGT